AGTGACCATGTGATGGGGGCTGTCCTGTGGGAGTGACCATGTGATGGGGGCTGTCCTGTGGAAGTGAGGCGAATGAGCTCGGGGAGACTTCTGCCCTCTGGAGTTGGCCAGAGCCACGAGAGCAGCAATGAGCACAGCACACCCAGGGAGCAGAAAGAACGGAAGGAACAGGAGGATGAACAAATGAAGGGCGAGGGGCCAGAGAACAGTGAGTACCAACGGTAGGCACAGTGTCCAGAATCAATGTTTGTTCAACGGACGGCTGAGAACCTCGCCTTTCCAATTGGCGTTCTTCTCGCCTCCTCCTGACCACATCGTCTGGGGTCAACCCTACGGTTCCCACTGTTGCCTGCCACTAAGGTGTTTTCCACTCCCCCCCCCCTTTTTTTTGAAAAATCAGTGGCTTCAAAGATGCCCTGTTCACACATTCTTTGGGAATGTCACATTTGATCTGGCCGCTGGACGGGTTTGACTGCTTTATTTATGATTTCTGGCACTTTTCCTCTGTGGCTGCTCAGAATAGCTTCTGATCCTGCTCGCTCACAGACACGGTGAAATCGAATCTTCCTGTGCTCGCCCTGATCTAAGCAGTTTTGCTTATGTAAGCTTCCAGGCCCTCCAGAGGAACCAGGCGGTGAGAGTCTTGCACCAGCAGAGCCCTGCAGAGATGTCAAATGTGCTTTCCTCATGTGCACATCTTTAACTTGTGTGCTATCCTTCTGGTAAAGGCCATTTCTTTCCAGAAATTGTGTGGCAATCCATAGAAGCTGTGTGCACACTCAGAAGGCCAAGACTGGGTCATTTTCTCTTCACTAACCTCTTTGTACCCCTTTAAATGTTATGGTTTTATTCCTCAATACTCAAATCAAGGTCCTGACTTACTCTATTCTTTGGGAATTTCATCTCTGTCCCTCAGTGTCATAGGACTTCTGTTTGACTCTCTGTCGAACTGCCACATTTTGAGAGGGCAATGGGCTCAAAGATGTATTTGTTATGGCGATATGACATGCGCGTGTTAATCACTTTTCTTATTACTCTGACAAAATGCCTAATAAAACCAACTCAATGAGGGAAGGGAGGTGTTGAATACATAGTCCACCATGACAGAAAGGGCATGGCAGCAAGAACATGAGGCAGTTATTGGGTCATATGGTGACTTCAGCATCCAGGAGAGAGAGAAATGACCGGTGGTGTTTAGCTTGCTTTCTCTTTTTCTTTCAGAGCAGGACCCCAGCCCAAGGGATGGTGCCACTGGGACCTCAATTAACCTAATCTAGGATCTCCCTCACAGAAAGGCCCAGAGGTCTGTTTCCATGGTGATCCTAAATCCAATAATTTGACGATATATGAATGGATGTACATGAGCGTGTGTGTGTGTGTGTGTGTGTGTGTGTGTGTGTGTGTGTGTGTGTGTGTTTTACTTGAATGGTCTCTGAATTTAAAATCAAAAGTCTAAATGAAAGGGTCAGTTCTTTCAAGTTCTAGCTGGTAATTTTAGTCAAGTCTTGGAGCTCAGTAAACATGTCCATATAAAAACTTTTATGGCCGGGCAGTGGTGGCGCTCTCTCGCCTTTAATCCTAGCACTTGGGAGGCAGAGCCAGGCAGATCTCTGTGAGTTCGAGGCCAGCCTGGTCTACAAAGTGAGTTCCAGGACAGGCACCAAAACTACACAGAGAAACCCTGTCTCAAAAAACAAAAAAAACGTTTACATGGATGTGTATGGCAGCAATTATCTCATAAGAGCCCCCAAACTGTAAACTGCTCAAAAGTTGGTTAACTGTTATGTGGCTAAATGAATGCAATATATCCACATATTACTCAGCCACAAAAAGGACAGTGCTGATTCATGCTCCAATATGGATAAACTCTGAAAACATACTCAGTGAAAGAAGACAGACACAGAAGAACATGTCCGTTAGTGTCTCAGGGCTGCCACAGGGCGGCACCACAAACTGGGTGGCTTAAACTACAAAAGCATATCGTCCCACAGTTTGAGAAGCTTATGAACTCAAGATGAAGGTGTTGGCCAGATTGCTTCCTTCTGAGGCTGAGCCTTCTTCCGGAGCTTCTCTCAGTTGCTGTCACTCTCTGGTGCTCCTTGGCTTCGTCTTGACACACTGTTCCTTTCTATCTCTGTATCTAGTTTTCCTCTTTGAGTACAAATATCAGTCATATGGATTATGGCTCAGCCTCGAGACCTCATCTTAAACTATCGGATCGGATCGTCTAGGACCTTATTTTCAAAGAAGGTCGTGTTCTGATGTTCTGGGTTAGGGCTTCAGAGCATGAAGTTCTATAAATCACACATTATATGATTCTCTTTGTATAAAGTGTCCTAAATAGGTAAATCCAGGAAGACAGAAAATAGATCCGTGGTTACCAGAGGCTGGGAGAAAGAAGGAATTGAGAGCAACTGTTCATGGATACAGAGTTTATTTTTGAAAATGTTCTGAATCAGAACAACTCTGAGAATACACCAAAATCCACCAAGCCATGCCCTTTGGATGGGTGAACTGCATGGTCTGTGCATTACACCTCCTTAAAACTGTTATTTTAGGTACAACACTCATCACACTTTTACCACAGCAGGACCAGGACCAGCAGTGATGCCACACGAGCAAGAATGTTTGGAAAAAAAGGTGGCAAAGGCAAAAGCATTGCAGCCTCAGGTCTTTAATTTCTCAAAAACCTTTTGCATTTGCTGTGTGCATCCCACCCAGCTATGTGGTGGAGTATCTGTTCATGGTGAAGTATCTGTTCAGTCCAAACTTCCTCATGGAATAGAGGCTCCAGCCTCCTTGGGAGCCAACTCCAACATCCGAAGTCTGGTCGCTCATGAGCTTCCCCGAGCTTCTGGCAAAATGTTTGTCTATACTGAGGGGTGGGTTAGGGTAGACATGTATCTTTCCTCACAGGACAAATACAATTTTGCGGCTCTGTCAGGACTCCAGAGGATGACAAAATCCTTGCCTGTCCCCTGAGCTGCCACCATGCATCCTTGCGGTGCATAAACCGCAGGGAGTAGTTGACAGAGTCCAGTGTGCAGCTCCGGAAGGGACGACGGCGTACCTGCCCCGCTGTGTCCTCTCTTGACTGTGGCTTTGCCTGGCTGTCTGGGGTGAGCTGTCTGTTGTGGTTCCCTCAGCCTGTACCTGGGTGAGGTGTGAGGTGCATCCAGGTGAGCAGGCTGCAGGCGAACAGCACAGCTGGTCAGCACAGCTGGTCAGCACAGCTGGTAAAGCTATGGTTTACTCCATTGCACTCTCCTGTTTGCCTGCTGCACCCTAACACTTGGGACCCGAGAAGCCAAACCTAAACCCTCCATCCTGCCTCACCAATGACTTGCTGTGGTTTTTGGTTGAGTTTCTTAACCCATCTGGGCCTCAGTTTCTCCATCTCCACAAGTGCATAATGGTCCTTTTCACATAAGCTGTGACAAGAATGAAATGAGACTTGTCTGATGTGTGGTCGCTCTTGGTTGTCCCTTGCCAGGAGGACAGCAAGGTCTGATTGGTGAGGTCCATCCTGTCTAGACTGGGAATGGAGAAAGCGTAGACCATCTGAACCCCAAGTTCGGCTCTGTAATCGGCTTTGTACACTGTCCACCCAAATCATCCTGTGCCACTGGGCTCAGGGTAAGGTGAAGAACAGTGGGATTGTGGGAAAGAAACGGAAGCTGGGTGGGGTTGGAGGCAAGAGTGGCAGATGCCTCAGTCAGTCAAATGCTTGTAACTCAAGCATAGACCTGAGTTCCTTCCCTAAAACACACAGAAAAAGCTAGGAACAGGCTGGTGAGGTTGTTCAGTAGATAAAGGCACTTGCTTCATAACCTGGACCCCACATACAGGTGGAAAGAGGGAACCAACTCCACCAAGTTGTCCTGTAGCCTCCACATGCAACCACATGGCATACAGGTGCCACACGCACTTCTTAAAAAAAACAAAAAAAAACTAGGCATATTAGCATGCACTTGTAATCCCAGTGTTGGGGAGGCAGAGACAGAAGGATCCCTGGAGCTCACTGGCCAGCCCAGCATAGTTGATGAGCTCCAGGCCAATGAGAAGCAAATAAACAGGAGGCTGGAAAGACGGCTCAGCACTTACTGCTGATCTTGCAGAGGACCCGAGTTGGCAACTGCCTCCATTCCAGCTGCAGGAGGTTTGACATCTTCTGGCCTCCAAAGGCACATATATACATACAGACACAGACACAGAAATAAAAACAGAAGACAGCGTTTTCAAAAAGTACTTTGTTGCTGCTCTTTTGAGACAGGATATCTTGTAGCACAGGCTGGCTTCCAACTCACTGTGTAACCAAACATGACCTTGAACCAATCCTGAGGCCTCTGCCTCTCAGACATCGGAATGTGTCACCATGTCTAGCTTCATCTTTCATATCTTGGCAATGCTCAAAGCACTTGCCTTGCCGTATAGATTAAAGAAGCCATCCCTCAGGGCATTGTGTCACACACCTGAAATCCCAGCACTCAAGAGGCAGAGGTGGCAAAAGTAGTTTGAGGCTAGCCTGGGACACAGAGCAATTTGAAGTCAGACTGGGCTACAGAGCAGTTTGGGGCCAGCCTGGGCTACAGAGCAAGACCTTGTCTAAAAAACAAAGCAAACCAACAAACAAACAACAGCAACAAAATGAAAAACAAGGACAGGGAGAGCTGTCATGTGTAAAGAGGTTGGAGCTGAGTCTGGCACACAATAAGCACTCAATAAATATTTGATTTTATCTTTGCTTATTCATTCAGTGGTTCACTGGGCAGCCACTCCTGGTGCATATATTTGCTGGTGCTAGAGATACAGTGAGCCAGACAGAGACCCTGAAGGCCATGGAACAGACAGACAAGAGCATAGTCCATCACCGTTCAAGAGGACAGCAGACCAGAGAGCTGGGCGCTCTTGTGCAAAATTAAGGGAGGTAGAAGCTGTGGAAGTTGGAGAGGACAGCTCCCGTCTGAAGAAGCCTAGTAGAGGAGAATGTTCCCTGGGCCACACAGGATGTGTAGGAGTTTACTGCCAGTGAAGAAGCCTGAGGAAAAGAGAGGCTGGAAGAGGAGGGAGCACATTCAGATCAACTCGGAGGCTACTGTTGCTGCCTTGCTGGTCCCATTCTGCCTATTCTAAAGCTGCAGTGAGTGTCTGTGGCTCATGCCACAGCTGTCTGACAGGCTGACCTGGGACCAGGACAAAGTCCCCCAAGAATTTCTTTCAGCCAAAGATGGAGACAATTACCAAACAGTATTGTTCCCTCAGTGGAATGGAACCCCATAGAGTGACGCCACTCCTGAATGCACCCTGGTGTGCACTGACTTCTAACTGCTTGATTGTCGTTTCTGGCAATTACTGGGTGTCCAGTCCATGGCCAGTATCAGGTTCCATGTCCAGGGTTCCACAGTTCTGGAGATGGCAAGGTCTCACACATGCTAGGTCTGGGCTCTACCAGACAATCTACACCCCAGTCTCTGGGCTTCATATTTGTGGAAAACAGTCCTGCAAGCAGTTGGAACTTGTGGGTTCAGGGGGTGATGATGGCTGACAGAGGGAGAGCACAGTGGGCCATCTCAATGTCACTGTAAGTAGCAGGGATTTCAAAGGTCCCCAACACAAAGAAATGATAAGATGTCTGAGGTGGCTCACACCTTCAATCCTAGCTCTCAGGCAACTGGATCTCTCAGGCCTGTGTGGTCTACAGAATGAGTTCCAGAACAGCTAGAACTACACAGAGAAACCCTCTCTCAAAAAAAGAAAAAAAAATTGTGTTGATTAAAAATAGATACAATTTTAAAAAAAGAATGTGCTATCTGAGGAAGTGTCAACACATATCTGTGAAAAGGAGAACACTTAAAATAGGGGAAGGCAGAGTTCATTTAGGGAAGGTTGGTTTCTGGTCCTGAGAATGTAGCTCAGTGGTAAAGAGCTTGCCTAACATGTGCAAGGTCCTAGGTTCAATACTCCTGCATGACAGAAAAAAAGGTTCAGCCTAGTATCCAGCATCTTGACCGTCTGAAGCCTGGAATGCCTCTGCTGGATGTCTGCCTCTTCTCTAGTCACTGGGAGCTGTGGAAGTGTTTTCAGAAACTGGAGGAGTAGAAACTGGGTTCAAGTGAAGGGAAATGAAGAGGGGTGACGCTGGATTCAGGGCCCTGGAAGAGGCTATTGGAGGAGTCTTGACCCAGCCTTACTCTGTTGTGAGCCCACTACCCTTAGTCTCTGGAGGGCCCTTTCTCACAAGCCCCTCCTGCCTTCCCATCCTTCCTCTCAGCCCTGCATCCAGCTTGGCCTCCACACCTATTCTCACTCCTATCTCCTCCCGTTATGTCTGCCTTCAAGACGCTGGCTGTACCTCCCTCTGTCTCTCGCCTGTTCTCTCCTGTGGTTAGCAGTGGGTACTCAGCGGAAAAAAAACAAACAGAACAACAAAACCCCTCCCCTTCCTGCAGGCTGGCTCCGAACCCCCCATCGGAGCAGAGACTGTCTTCTTTCTACTTTAAGTAAACAAAATTGAAGCAACCTTGGCCTTGGACATCAGTGTTGTCTCTAACGACTTTCCTTTAAAACCACAAATGCTTTTTGTCTCGATTTGAGGTGGTTCTTGCCTCGTCTGGTCTGGGCAACCTCAGGGAGAGCGTGAAGCAGCATCTGGCAGCCTGAAGATTTTACCGCAGATGCTGTGCTTTTGTGAAAAGCCAATATCTCTGCAAGCCAGCCAAGAGGGCAAAGACAGCACAGGGCTGCAAGCCATCAGCAAAAGCTGAGTCCGGAGACGGAAGAAGACCACCGCTCTCAGGAAGACCCCGGGTCTGATGGGGAGGAGCAAGAGGCTTGCCTCATGTCAAGGTTGTTCCAAATAGCACCTGGGCCGTGCAACTCTGGGCAAGTGATTAACCCTCCTGCCTCAGTTTCCTCATCTACAAAGCCCAGGCTGTTGTGGGGAGTCAATAAGATGGCACCCAAGAAGAGACAACACACAGAACCCGAGGAGTGTGCACTGGCTTTGTCTCTTTAAAGACATTCCCAGGCTGGGTTAGTTGGTAAGCGGCTTGCTTAGATCGCATGGGGCCCTGAGTCAATCTTCAGCAGCAAATAAAAAGAATGGTGGCACATGCCTCAAATCTCAGCGCTCCAGAGCTGGAAGAAAGAAGATCAGGAGTTCAAGGACATTCTCAGCTGCGTACTTAGTTTGGGGCCAGGGTGTAGCTCAGAGGGAGAACACTTGGCTTATATTTGTGAGGCCCTGGGGGTTCGGCCCCAGCATTGAAACAGCAAAGCACAATTTAATGTCATCCAATTCTTCCTTAAACAACTCAGTGTTTTAGCATATTGACAAGGTTGTAAAGCTGTCAATACCATTTGCAAATCTGTGTGTGCACGAAAGCATGCACCTCATGCATGCGTGTTTGTACATACAAAAACAGAACACAGTGTACCTGTGAAGGTAGGAGGACCACTTCTGATAACCAATTCTTTTTTTCTACTATGTGGGTTCTAGAGATCACACTTCGGCCTCAGGCTTGTCAGCATATGCCTTTACCTGCTGAGCTGTCTCATGGCCTCCTAGAATAAAGACACCTTATACCTACCAGCACTCACTGCTCCCGACTCCCTGCTCAAAAAACCACGGCTTTGCTTTCTAGAAGTCTCTATGGTTTGCCTGCATGTTTCATATCATAAAATGTGACTGTGACCTTCTTGTGTTTGGTTTTCTCAGAGTAGCATTTTCAAGGCTCATCCTTTTTATAGCACAGGTCAGTCCTCCCTCTTTATGGCTGAGTAATATTTTATTGTATGGACATACCACATTTCGTCTCTTTGACAGTTGATGGGCATTGGGTTATTTCCACTTTTTGACTATTGTGAGCAGCGCCATTAGGAACATTCAGGTGAACAGATGGTTTTGCTCCTCTTGGATGTCTACCTAGAAGTGCTTCTTCATTAGCTCTGCAATCTTGGACAGCTTACCTTACCTCTCTGAACCTTTTTGATCCTCTGGGGAATGGAGGTGCAGAGTGGAGTGCGATTGGAGCTGGCACCAAAGGATGCAGTAAAAGGTAGCTGTGGTCATGACCACTTTTACAGACTAAAGATTGCATGTTGATGCTATGTGTCCGGCATACAGCTCACGTGTAGTACACAAGAGCCATGGTTTTCATCCGCTCATCGGCTTTGACCTTTACATGACTGATTAATACAAGGTTGAAGGCCCAAAGAAACTTTGGCTGTGACCCAGAGCATCGATATGACCAAAAGATAAACTCAAAGTGGTTGGGGCATGACAAGCCACAGGGTGGTAGAAATCCTGGGAAAGAGCCAAGGGAACAGCCAGCCGAGTATGAACTGAGGTCATGAAGCAGGAGAGCTTTGCATGAAGGCCGCTGGGAGGGACCACTGGGAGGGGTTTCATGCACCCAAATTCCTGCTGTGGAAGCAGCCAGATCTATTTAAAGGTCCAGAGACCAAGCAGCCACTTTGGAGATGCCATAAGCTTTCCTGGGAGAGGAACAGACTTTGGAAGCAAGAGTCTCATGACCACCGGCAGCAAGCTTACTGTGAGCTATAAGTCAGGGAGCCTAAAGCCAATGCAGATCATGGCAGGCTTCTGGGAGGGGCTGGCTTCACAGAATGGACAGAGTACATTGTAGAGGGGCCTCAGTCCGGGAGAGAGAGGGGAGCTCGAAAGTTGCTTTAGGGGAAAGAGATAAATCTTGCTTTAAAAATTAATATAGGGTGAGGGGAGGGTTGGCAAGATGGTTCAGTGGGTGAAGACTTACTGCATGGGCCTGGGGACTGAAACTAGATGTGAGCCTCAGAACCCAGGTAGAAAGAGAGAGCTGACTCTAAAAATCTGTTCTCTCTCTCTCTCTCTCTCTCTCTCTCTCTCTCTCTCTCTCTCTCTCTCTCTCTCCCTCCCTCCCTCCCTCCCTCCCTCTCTCCTTCTTTCTCTCCCTCTCATACATTTTGAAGGAGTTACTGGGAAACAAACCCAGGGCATGCTAAATATATTGAGATACACATTTTTTTCTTATTCCAACAGATGTACTTTTATTGCAAGAATTTAGTGTGGAGGGGGAGATACTGAAACACAAGTAAGAAAAAGAGGAAGAGGAAGAAGTTCTGTCAGCCCCACTCCCAGGAATAAACAGCACTCACAGCCTGAGTCTCTTCACCTGTTTTCCATGCATGCTGCTACTGACGCTTGCGTTTTTTTAAGCAAAAATGGACTCCTATAATACAAACTGTAGGTGACCTACTTTCTAGAATGTATCATGAACTGTGCTTCTCATCATTAAATGAGCTTCTTTGCCACCATTTAATGACTTTATAGTAACTCTCATATGAATGGAACATAATTTATTTAAGTAATTTTCTATTCTTGGATATTTAAGTGGTTTCTAATTTTTCACTATCATGAGCATCTTCCAAATGATTATCCTTGTGGCTGAAACTCTGTGCACATCCTAATTATGTCCTTGGGATACATTTCTAGCAAAAGAGTCACTAGAATAAAGGGTATGCAGAGTCTAAAGGATGTTGATACATATTGTCAAATTGCTCCCCAGAAAGCTTGTACAGATTTATGCTGTTAGTGGCAAAATATGAGTTGCCTATTTTTTAGTATTTTTGTAATCATTGGTTATGTTTTGCTTTCCTTTATGAATTTAACAAAGATGAGAATTCAGGAACCTGAGTAATCAGACGCATGAGATGGGAGTAAGAACAAGGGGCTCTTTTACAGGTCTATTGTGGCAATCAAGCCACATAATGGATGTAATGTGTTTGGAAAGAAAACATGGTTTGCAGAAAGGAAGCTTTGTGAAGGAAAGGTAGTTGGGGACCCAGCTAAACAAAGGGCTTTATTTTCCCTGTAAGTACAAAATTAGTATATATTTATAAAAATTGAGATAGCCTGCAGGTCTGATGGCAAGAGGTGAAATCACTTCTACACCTCCCCAACAGTTCTCTCCCCAGAGGTCAGATGTATCTGTAGCTGATCTTCCCTTGTGAATATAAACTCTATGTGTGCAACCATGTGTATGTGTATGCATACAAATATGTATATACATTCAGCCATATCATTTTTTGGGGGTTTATATTTTGGTTTTTTGAGACAGGGTTTCTCTGTGTAGTTTTGGAGCCTGTCCTGGAACTCGCTCTGTAGACTAGGCTGGCCTCGAACTCACATAGATCTGCCTGGCTCTGCCTCCCGAGTGCTGGGATTAAAGGCATGCACCACCACCATTCGGCCAGCCATATAATTTTTAAAGATTTATTTATTTGTGTGAGTGTGCATATGCATGCAGGCTAGAAGAGAGTGTCAGATGTCCTCCTGTCACTCTCCACTATTTCTTCGAGGCAGGATCTCTTCCTGATCCTGAGGCTCTTTTTTTCTCAGCTAGGCTTTGGCCTGTCTGAACCTTCCTGAGCACAGGAGTTACAGGTGTGTGCAAGTTACTAAGTTTATTACATGAATGCTGGTATCCAAACTTCAGTCCTCATGATTACACAATAAGCACCCTTAACCACAGAATGGTCTCTTCAGCTCCAATCTATAGTATTTTGTTGCTGGTATGCATGTGCATGTGTGTTCATGTGTGAAAGTATGACCACATGGGTCCACAGTTTATACGTGGAAGTCAGATCCTCACACTTGTGCAGCAAATGTTTTACTCAGTGAGCCATCTCCACATCCTGTGTTGTTTTAAAAAATGGAAATTCATGTAGGACTTTATTTTCATCTCAGAACAAACAGCCGCCTTATTCTTTGTAAGGTTGGCTTGGATTCTTTTGCTGGCTAAAGCATCATCCACTTATTCTTTTCCTGAACAGTGTGGTGACAACTCACTCTCACACCCTTTTTCTTGCACGCTTGAACTGGTGTCTGTTGGCTCTCAAGTGGTGGAATGCTAGGTGGAAGTAGACAGTTACTCACCAAAGAGAAAATGCCAATGTGCCGCAGAGTGTGGAGGGCTGGGGATCGCACTCCTGGGACTTCTGGCCATCCTTCAGGAGCCTAGGCAGGGTCAGAACCAGCTGCTCGTCCACTGACTCTTAACTACCAAGGTTCTGAAAAGTCTGCAGTGAAGTATGGCTCTCTCTCCAGCACACTTCTTGCTGTCCTCTGCTGTGAAGCAAACCACTGAGGAATCTTTCTCTTGTTAATTAACTGGGGCTTTATTAAACACCTTAGCTGCTGGCCGACTGCTCTGACCCAGCCATTCCTAGGAGACATTCTGATGAGGAATTTTGGGTTCTAATTTGTACTTCTTTAGTGACTGACGGCTTTTGTGTCAGTGTGTGCATGTTTAATGTGTCGGTTCAACCTGGTTCTGCAACCTCAAATGTTTGTCAGGTTCTTACTCTCTGCTAGGTACCAGCCTAGGAATTTATGTCTAGGGTAATAATAAAAAGTGATGATAAAGATGCTTATTACTCTGTTACTAATGAGAGCAAATATTAGAAGGGAACTAAATGTCCGAATTTGGGCAATTATTAAATATATTCTTACGGGGGCCGGAGAGATGACTCAGAATTTAAGAGCATTTTCTGCTTTAGCAGAGGACCCAGGTTCGGTTCCCAGCATCCACACGGTGGCTCACAACCATCTGTAACTCCAGTTCCAGGGGATCTGACACACACTTCTGAACTTCATTTGCACCAGATGTGTTCGTGGTTCACATACATACATACAGGCAAAACACTCACATGAAAATTTTATTTTTAAAAAATTAAGATATGTTAAAATCATGTTTATAGTTAGGCGATGGTGAGTGGTGGTGCACACCTTCAATCCCAGCACTCAAGAGGGAGAGGCAGGAGGATCTGAGTTCAAGGCCAGCCTGATCTACACAGTGAGTTCAAGGACAGCCAGGACAACACAGCGAAACCTTGTCTTGATAAACCAAAACCAACAACAAAATATATTCATGTTTATAAAAGAATATTTAATAACAGAGAGATTACTGCTATCCGTTTATTTATTTTTGCTTATGGGTTTTGAGAATCCAAAGAGCACTGGAGAAGTGCTCTACCTCCTGAGGCTACACTGGTGTGGTCCACGTGCCGGAAACCCCAGCATTGGCAGGTGGAGGGTGAGGAATTAAAGGTCATCCTTGGCTATATATTGAGTTCAAGGCCAGCCTGGGCTACATGCAATAAGAAAATAAAGAAAACAAATGAACAAATAAATAGGCACACCCCTAGTCTACTGTTTCATAAATAAAAGCAGTCTGTGAGGTACACCGAGCATGGTCTTAGTTTGGTTTCCTATACTTGCAATCTCTGTTTCCAGCTTGCTCTGTAATCTCTGTTTCTAATCTCCACTATCTAAAATGAAATCCACCAAGATCCAGTGTGGCTGGATTCTTCTTCATAGTGTAATCTAAATGTTCCTCAGAAAGAGCATAGCAATAGATTAAAAGGAATTCTTCCTCCTCCTCCTCCTCCTCCTCCTCCTTCAAGTTTTGTTGAAAGGGCAAAGAAATCCATGAAGGTAGAAATGACCCAAATGACTAATAAACATGCGAAGTGCAAACTCGTTAATTATTAAAAGGTAAATTAAAGCTGCACTGTGATGCTCTGTTTTAGCCTATCAACTTTAGAGATCTGCTGGTGAACAGTATGTCCTGGCAGCAGTGTGGCAGGTGAAACACTGTGGCCTGCACATTTGAGGCTGACTATGTCTGGTCTTTCTGAAGAGCTCTTTGGCTAGATGTCAAAACCCTTTAAACTATGTAATTTATCAATAAAGTTGATTTAAAGATCTATGTTTCTATTCTTCAGCTATCTTAAGGAAATTAAGAAATTGTATACAGGTGTATGATTGAGAAACGCCTGTCACAGCACTTTTTTTCCCTTAAATACAGAAGTAAAAAATTGTTTAAGGCAGGCATGATGGCCTATGCCTGTAGGACCAGCACTACTGAGGCAGAGACAGGATGATCCAGTGCAAACTTGAGGCCAGCCTGGTCTACATGATGAGTTAGCCAGTCAGGGCTACACAGAGAGACCCTGCCTTGAAAGAAAATAACAACAGGGTGCTAGAGATGGCACTTGCTGCTCTTGCAGAGGGCCCAGGTTCACTTTCTAGCACCCACATGGCGGGTCACAACAGTCTGTGACTCCAGTTTCAAGGATCTGGAGACCTCTTCCAGCCTACGTGGGCGCTAGACACCCAAGTGGTGCATAGACAGACATGCAGGCAGAACACCCAAACACATAAAATAAACTAAAAACATTTGTTTTAAAGGGTAAGGATGTTATGAGTTATTGTACATGGGAGGGGGAGGGGGGACCCGAGGGTATCTTGCGCATGCAGGGAAACATGCTGGGCATGACACATGGGCATGGTGGCAGCGGCCAGTAATTCACAACCCAGATGCTGCATCCATGTGAAGAGTTTGTTATAATAGAGAGATGAAGAGAAAGACAGGAAAGAGAGAGGCAGGGTAGAGAGAGAGAGAGGTCCAAGGTCCTTACGGGAAGAAAAGCAGAGGAGAGAGGAAGGGGAGGAGTTTCTCCTTAGAATGAGGCTTTCACGTCAGGACACAGGGTGGGATTTCAAGGGGCTGATCAGAATATTAACAAAAGAAACAACAGCAAAGAATTGTTTAAAAGAATACTGTAAAACTTTTTTTATGAACGTGGAAATGTGAGTAATATCTTGTTAAATTTTAAAATATGCATAGATACTTACATTTGGTCTGGTTCCTTTAAAAAGTTTTAAGTCAAACTGGCCTAGAAATTATAATTAAAAATTTGAAGAGCCAGGCAGATCTCTGTGAGTTCGAGGCCAGCCTGATCTACAAAGCAAGTTCCAGGACAGGCTCCAAAAACTACACAGAAAAACCCTGTCTCGAAAAACCAAAAAAAAAAAAAAAATTGAGATGAAAAAATTCAATCAACTGGCTAACCAGAGGCTCTGAGCGGGAGCAGGCTAGCCAGAGGCTCTGAGCGGGAGCAGGCTAGCCAGAGGCTCTGAGTGGGAGCAGGCTAGCCAGAGGCTCTGAGTGGGAGCAGGCTAGCCAGAGGCTCTGAGTGAGTGGGAGCAGGCTAGCCAGAGGCTCTGAGTGAGTGGGAGCAGGCTAGCCAGAGGCTGTCAGGAAGGGAGAAGAGAGCATGGAGGAAGTGTCTGTAGCAGAAATGAGCTTCAGAAAGCTTCAGGACCACAGAGTCCTGCTCTCTTGGTCTATTGGGAATGGCTCCCTAGCCTGCATCCCAGGGACCAGCAGGAGAGAAGCCTGGGAGTGGTCCAGATTGGGAGGACTGCCTTGAGCCCGAGGCTGGGCCCGGGGCAGACTGGCCTTAAGCTTAT